GTCCCCATGACCACGTCCCCATGACCACGTCCTCATGACCATGCTGTGTCCCCATAACCACGTCCTCATGACCACACCGTGTCCCTATGACCATGTCCTCATGACCATGCCGTGTCCCTATGACCGTGCCATGTCCCCATGACCACGTCCCCATGACCATGTCATGTCCCCACGCCCCACGTCGTGTCCCCATGACCATGTCCCCATGACCATGCGATGTCCCCATGACCATGCCATGTCCTCATGACCATGTCCCCATGACCTTGCTGTGTCCTCATGCCGTGTCCCCATGCCCATGCCACGTCCCCATGACCACGTCCTCATGACCATGCTGTGTCCCCATAACCACGTCCTCATGACCACACCGTGTCCCTATGACCGTGCCATGTCCCCATGACCACGTCCCCATGACCACGTCATGTCCCCACGCCCCACGTCATGTCCCCATGACCATGTCGTGTCTTCATGACCACGCTGTGTCCCCACACCCCATGTTGTGTCCCCATGACCATGTCCCCATGACCATGCGATGTCCCCATGACCATGCCATGTCCTCATGACCATGTCCCCATGACCATGCCGTGTCTCCATGTCCATGCCGTGTCCCCATGCCGTGTCCCCACGTGGTGTCCCCACGCGGTGTCCCCGCAGCCGACGGTGACCGTAAGCTCTCGGCGGAGGAGGAGGAGGCCCGGCGCATCGCCGAGATGGGCAAACCCATCCTGGGGGAGAACTGCAAACTGGAGGTCATCATCGAGGAGTCCTACGACTTCAAGGTGACCGGTGGGGACAGGGGACCGGGAGAGGTGGAGGGACATGGTGGGGGGGGGACACACTGGGGGACGTGGGGACGACGCGTCCTCACCTCCCCGGTCCCCGTAGAACACGGTGGACAAGCTGATCAAGAAGACCAACCTGGCCATGGTCATCGGGACCCACTCCTGGCGGGAGCAGTTCCTGGAAGCCATCACCGTCAGCGCAGGTGGGACACCCCCACTCCATCTCCAGGGTCCCCTCACCGGGGGACACCCGGCCACGGGGACAGATGACCAACGGGGACGCTCAGCCGTGGGGACGTGGCTCCGCTACGGCTCGGGGGGTTGCCCGCACTTGAGGACACATGTCGGTGGGGTCGGGCACGCCGGGGACAAGAGCGCTGGGGCCACGTACCCCCAGGACACGCCCTGGGGGACAAGAACCCTTGGGGCCACCACCCTGGGGCCACCACCCTGGGGATGAGCACCCTGGGGCCACCACTCTGGGCCCACCATCCTGGGGCCACCACTCTGGGGCCACCACCCTGGGGCCACCAGCCTGGGCCACCGCCATGGGGACAAGCGCCCTGGGGCCACCACCTTGAGGATGAGCACCCTAGGGCCACCATGCCTGGACCATGAACCCTGGGACCACCACCATGAGGCCACCACCCTGGGGACAAGTGCTCTGGGGCCACCACCGTGGGGATGACCACTCTGGGGGCCACCACCTTGGGGCCACAACCCTGGGGCCACCCCCTTGGGACCACCACCATGGGACCACCACCATGGGCCACCACCTTGGGACCGCCACCATGGGCTACCACCTTGGGACCACCAACATGGGCCATCACCCTGGGCCACCACACCTTGGGGCCACCACCTTGGGACCACCACCATGGGACCACCAACATGGGCCATCAGGCCACCCGCGGGGGGCCACCACCTTGGGGCCCCCCCCGTGGGACCACCACCATGGGACCACCACCATGGGCCATCACCCTGGGGCCACCACCCTGGGCCACCACCATGGGGCCACCACCTTGGGACCATCACCCTGGGGCCACTGCTCTGGGACCACCACCCTGGGCCACCACCTTGGGGCCACCCCCCAGGACCAGGCAGCCCCGTGGCCCCGTTGGGCTGAGGATGACCTTCCCCGGGCAGGTGAGGAGGAGGAGGACGACGACGGGCGGGAGGAGCGGCTGCCCTCCTGCTTCGACTACGTGATGCACTTCCTGACGGTCTTCTGGAAGGTCCTCTTCGCCTGCGTCCCCCCCACCGACCCACCTAGTACTGCAACGGCTGTGCCTGCTTCGGCGTCTCCATCCTCCTCATCGGCATCCTCACCGCCCTCATCGGCGACCTGGCCGCGCACTTCGGCTGCACCGTCGGCCTCAAGGACTCCGTCAACGCCGTCGTCTTCGTGGCCCTCGGCACGTCCATCCCCGGTGCGGGAGAGGGAGAGGGAGAGGGAGGAGGAGGAGGAGGAGGAGAAGGATGAGGAAGAGGAAGAGGAGGAGAAGTGTGAGGGAGAGAGGAGGAGGAGGAGGAGGAGGAGGAGGAGGAGGAGGAGAAGGAGGAGGAGGAGGAGAAGGAGTAGAAGGAGGAGAAGGAGGAGAAGGAGGAGAAGGAGGAGAAGGAGGAGAAGGAGGAGAAGGAGGAGAAGGAGGAGAAGGAGGAGAAGGAGGAGAGGGAGGGCTCTGGGTCCATGCAGAGCGTGGGAACCCCTGGGAACATTCGGGTCATTTCTCCCACCCTTCGTGCCCAGGAGGCTGTCCACATTCCCAGAGAAAACTCAGGAATGCAGCAACCTAGGAGCAATGTGAGGAGCTAAACTCTAAACAGAGAGGAGTTTTCAGCCCAGAGCAAGGACAGGTAGTCCCTGCGCAGGTAGCACAGCATGTTCAAGGACATAAGGGAGCAGCACCAAGAAAACAAGTCCATCTCTGGGCTCTTTCGGCAATAGCACACGCTGGGCCTCTGACCAAGGAAAGCTGAGAGCGCTCCAGCAGAAATCCAGCATCTCATGAAAATCCCCAGATCCTCTCCTCTGAGTCACTAATTAGTAAAACACGCAGCTGACTTGTAACAGAGATGAGTCCTGTTTCCTAATTATAGTATATTAACGCAGGATATTAGTTTAAGCCCAAGACCAGAAGAACATTGACGTTGCTTAATTTTGTTGAATAGCCTCTTGGCTAACGACACTCCCAAGTTCCTTAATGGCTCAGGGCTTTATTATCTAAATACTGAGCACGAGTAAGAGCGCTGCAGTTAGATAACTGCATTGTTTGTGTTCCTAGATCATTTCTCAGAGTTATTACTGTTATGCCATAACTATCAGTTACTTACAACAGTTCCCTAAAAAGTAATGCGAATACCCTCGGTGTACCATGCAAGATCTAAAACTCTGATGTGCGTGGGTTTTTTTCACAAAATTAAAGAACATGAAGTTTAAAAGCCAACAAAACATGCCTGACCTTGTGCTGGTATCTATTGTCGAAGGCGTGCTTTATCAAGAGATTTTTTAAGACTGAGATGGCCGTATATCTGATATCGTAGTTGTCCTGCAAGGCAACAGAGGCTTCTCTGAGAAGCATCCCCACCAGGAAATGATGCCTGCAATACTCATCAGTTAAACCGTATTCAAGATTTACATCTGAAAGAAACAACAAGGCAATGGTTAAGGGAACTGTTCCGAGGATCTGTTCAGAGCAAGACATAACGGTCGCGTAAGCCACAACTGTCCGTAAGGACGGTTCATCACGCTCTCCTACGCTGCATTGATCTTTCAATAAAGCCTGAACTGACTACAGTTTTCTCCACCACCGAGTTAAGTCATATCAAAGAACTCGGCACCTTCCAGTTCAGGCTAATCATTCATTTCAGCCCTCACCATTTTAGCACCAGCAAAAAGAAGGATTTTTGCAGTGTGATGTTTGACAAGGCTTGGCGCTCCAAAGAGTAATCTGTGAAGTCAGAGGTGGATAACCTCTCCCTCTCTTACAGGGAACTGCTGGAGAGGGTCCAGCAAAGGGCAACAAAGATGATTAGGGGACTGGAGCACCTTTCTTATGAGGAAAGGCTGAGGGAATTGGGTCTCTTTAGTCTAGAGAAAAGAAGATTGAGGGGGGATCTTATTAGTACATACAAATACTTAATGGGAGGGTGCCAGGGGGATGGGAGCAGTCTTTTTTCAGTGGCGCCCAGTGATAGGACGAGGGGTAATGGGCATAAACTTGAACATAGGAAGTTCCATCGTAACATGAGGAGGAACTTCTTTACTTTGAGGGTAGTGGAGCACTGGAACAGGCTGCCCAGAGAGGTGGTGGAGTCTCCCACTCTGGAGACATTCAAAACCCGCCTGGACGCTGTCCTGTGCAACGTGCTGTAGGTGACCCTGCTCTGGCAGGAGGGTTGGACTAGATGATCTCCAGAGGTCCCTTCCAACCCTAACCATTCTGTGAATTCTGTGAATTCTGTGAATTCTGTGAATTCTGTGAATTCTGTGAATTCTGTGAATTCTGTGAATTCTGTGAATTCTGTGAATTCTGTGAATTCTGTGAATTCTGTGAATTCTGTGAATTCTGTGAATTCTGTGAATTCTGTGAATTCTGTGAATTCTGTGAATTCTGTGAATTCTGTGAATTCTGTGAATTCTGTGAATTCTGTGAATTCTGTGAATTCTGTGAATTCTGTGAATTCTGTGAATTCTGTGAATTCTGTGAATTCTGTGAATTCTGTGAATTCTGTGAATTCTGTGAATTCTGTGAATTCTGTGAATTCTGTGAATTCTGTGAATTCTGTGAATTCTGTGAATTCTGTGAATTCTGTGAAGTCCCCATGTCCCCAGAGGGTCCCCAAGTCCCCTTTGGGGTCCTCCTGGTGTCCCCATGTCCCCAGAGGGTCCCCATGTCCCCTTGGGGTCCTCCTGGCATCTCCATGTCCCCAGAGGGTCCCCATGTCCCCTTGGGGTCCTCCTGGTGTCCCCACGTCCCCAGAGGGTCCCCATGTCCCCTTTGGGGTCCTTCTGGCATCTCCTTGTCCTCTTGGGGTCCTCCTGGCATCTCCATGTCCCCAGAGGGTCCCCATGTCCCCTTGGGGTCCTCCTGCCACTCCACATCCCCACAAGGTCCACATGTCCCCTGGGGGTCCTCCAGCCACCCTCACGTCCCTTTGGGGTCCTGCTGCCACCCCCTGTCCCCAGAGAGTCCCCATGTCCCCTTTGGGGTCCTTCTGGCATCTCCGTATCCCTTTGGGGTCCTCCTGGCACCTCCTTGTCACCTTGGGGTCCTGCTGCCACCCCCACGTCCCTTTGGGGTCCTCTTTCCACCCCATGTCCCCAGAAGGTCCCCATGTCACCTTGGGGTCCTCCAGCCACCCCCACGTCCCTTTGGGGTCCCACTGCCACCCCCTGTCCCCAGAAGGTCCCCATGTCCCTTTGGGGTCCTCCTGGTGCCCCCATGTCCCCTTGGGGTCATCGAGCCACCACCGTGTCCCATTGGGGTCCTGCTGCCACCCCATGTCCCCAGAAGGTCCCCATGTCCCCTGGGGGTCCTCCAGCCACCTTCACGTCCCCTTGGGGTCTTGCTGCCACCCCACATCCCTAGAAGGTCC